CGGATAAATCTAGGCACATTAACCCCCACAGATGCTTCATCAGTTGAGGTTTATAGCAAATTTACATATATTTTATATCAACAGGACGGTTCTTTAGGTAAATCTTCGTTTTCAACTTGGGTTCCACGAGTATTTCAGTCGGGTTGTTCGACAAAATTGACAGTGTTAATATAGTGCTACTATAGCAATCATCATGCCCTGATTACTGATATGTACCCAATTATTCGTAAAAATAATCCGATAACTCTTAAATCTAACCCTGTTTAGTCACACAACTGTTACATTGTAAAGCTGCACTAAAGATGCATAACCGTAACAGGGGTGTTTGGAGACAATGTCAAATCTACTAAACCACCACCAAGTTTTCTCATAACAATAATACTAAACATAATTCAAAGTTGAATAGTGGACGTATAAGTTCAGTCCACTCAGCTAATTGACTGGAAATAATCAACTAAGACAAAATGCATACGTGACCGAATTACAGAAAGTAAGCAGCTTCTCACCTTCAAAATAATTTTATCACTTCCTATAAATAAAGAATCAAACGTTCTTGTCGTATTTAGAAGTTGACAATATAAGAAGGCAGCGCTACCTACCAAATGCGTACAGATGTGCGTCTTTGTCTTACATAAAGATACTATCAGGTAACTTAAATTTGTGTTGGAAGAAAAATCAGACACTCGGGCCAGCAGTTGAAAAAAAATCCATAAACTACTATCATTTCGACTATGTTACCTTTCACCTTTTCGTATCACTCTGCTTATATGAAGAGCGGAAAACTAAACCGATAGGAAATTGCACCTGACCCAAACATATAAAAACAATTTTCACTGTATTACATGTGTAGTAAAATTCATCATCAAATTAAATGTGGGACCAACATTTTACGTTTATATTTTTATAAACTTTTAACCGGTTCAATCGTAGACAATTAATGGTAACTCATTAGAATTAAACGGTAATTTTTTTACTTCTCACTCTGTAGGATGAAACATCAAGAGATTATCGTCGTCTGTTACTGGCGCTTATCGGAGCATGATCTCGAATACGATTTTATTTACATTGAATAAAGCTGTCAATAATGAATCAGTTCATAAAATCATGTTACTGAGTATTTTTAAAGATATATTTCATAGCTACAACTCTTTACTTTAATTAACACAAGTATTTCGCTAGTCTAACAAAAACTGTGCTATGAGAAAATATTTCTAAGTTATTTAATTGTTTTATCTACTATCCCACTTTTTTACGTTCACAAAATGCCGTAAACAGATATTTTTATTTTATTGCTAATTTTTATACAAACAAAGTGGTTTTCTTTGAAATGGGTGAATTTGTTAACGTTTTAGTTAAAGGGTGAATGGAGTAAAGGGCTTTGGAAAATATTACAGATATTAACTAATGCGATTGCATGAAAATAATGACCTGAGGTTGGTTAGTTAGATTGTCGCTCAGAAATGATCGCTGGAAAACCTATGTTTGCATTTCCCTATTATCTTTTTGAGTTAAACTTGTTCATTGATGGGAAGAGACAAACAACAGTTCAGCCTGTACTGATTATACGGTGGATATCAGCTTGGGGTGAATAGTACTCATGAACTACTTGGACTTGGTAAACACAAAATAAGCACTGCACGATCATTATAGTAAATTCCCCCTTTCCATTACAATATCAAATCATACAGTCAGAGGTCAGCCGAAGAAAACGGGTATACAATGCCATGTTGAAATAATAAGACCCCTGAAGGTAACCTTGTTGAAAAAGCGCTGACCATAAAAAACCCACTCCAGATACCCTCAGGGAGTCGAAGAATCTTCATTTAGAAGAGTTATGACGCCCCAACGTGGAAGCCGAGAATCATTGTTGAACAAACAATCGAATGGAACTCGTCACTATACATCAAATTCCTTGACCATAAGGAAGCGTTTTACGGCGTGGGTAGAATCTTATATAACCATCTTCGGTACTATGGTGTACCTGAGAAAATCGTCAACATCATACGGGATTCATACACTGCAAAGTCATGCATGGAGGACAGCCGACAGATGTATTGCATGTGAGGACAAGACTACTTAATCTCTTCTTTTCTTTCTCGTGGTTGACTGGATTATGAAGAACTCAACATCTGAGGGAAGCACGGAATACAGCTTGAATGCAACTATACGATTTAGACTTTGCAGATCACCTATCCCTTCTATCCCATACACACCGACAAATGTAGATGGGGACAAGTAGTATAGCAGCAGCCTCTTCAAAAGTAGGCTTCAACATTCACAAGGGAAAAAGTTCTTAAAATACAACACAGCAAGTACCAACCAAATCACACTTGATGGAGAAGATCTGGAAGAGGTAGGAACTTTAACACACCTGAACAACAACATTGATGAACGAGGGGGATTTGATACAGATATGAAAAAGCACGGATAGACTAGGTAAGGGTAGCATCTCTATAAGTGACGAACATCAGGAACCCGAAACACTTCCCAACCAACACCAAAATCAGAATATTCAAAACAGTTCTATTGTACGGAGCTGAGATGTGGAGAGCAACTACAGCCACCATCAAGGAAGTACAGGTATTTATGAACAGTCGTCTACCCAAGAAGATCCAGACCCACTGGTCAGACACCATCAACAACAAACAAGGTCCCAGCTGAAGGAATTAGGGAAAAATGCGAGGTGGATAGGGCACACAGCAGGAACCACCAAACTGCGTCACCAGGTAAGTCACAACGTGAAATCCTGAAGGAGAAAGAAAAAGCTGACCAAAGAACAGGTTGCGCCGGGAATCGTAAGCAGACACCATTTGTGAACAACTGGGAAGGACAGCCTAGGACAGAAATGATTGGAGAACCTTGGTCGGTCGGTTTATGCTTCACGAGAGGTGACAGACATGACTGAAGACGATCTATCGAGGACAAGGTCATCGGAACAGATTGGCCTAGTTTTGTACAATAATTTTTCTAAACTAACTCCTACATAAAGTAGTCGCTGGTGTTTTCCAGAATGGCAAAGAAAACTTTACATTTAAACTATCTAGCTCAAAGGACACATTACCATCTTAGTCATAAATCTTCTACATTATTTCATACGTAGCACGTCATGGAAAGCACTGTTTGGTCTTACCCGTACATACACCAACAAAAGTTGGAGTTGAGATGTTTATGTCAACCGACTAGCCTCACACAGAATCGGGAAAATCTTCAAACATTCATGTAAGATAAATGCCACGCTTTCATTTTCAGTACATGATAAAACTACCCCAACTACGCCCATCCTGTTGATGACTCTTACTATTGATGTGAGGTGTGACCATTTGAAATATTAAGATTTGCATTGAATCCTCTGACCTTTCACTATGCACTTAGGTAAGCTCGATTATTTTCTTATTAGGAATTATACGTGCTTAGAGCCCCGTCATGTAACCATCATATACAATGGCTTCAGACATACTAAGAACGATGACTACTCGGTTTGTGAAGTCCTGTTAGTTCCTCGAAGCGGCGTAACAAAGAACAGGACCGACCAACTCAAGGTCATGGATCTCTGTGAACCAAGTAGGCATTGAGTGAAAATTTGAAGTATAAATTTCAGGATCGCATAAATATTTTTATTGTTCAATAAACCTTCTTTACTGTTCCCTACGAATTTCAGGATCCATTTGAGGTACTATTTTTTTCAATCAAGATAGGTAGTACGTAACTACCTGTTTCATATAGGTTTTTAGGATGTTTAAGTATCCTGTACAAGAGCACTTTTATTTCACCGCACCATTGTTACCAAATGTTTTATACAAGCATGATTCTCCATTTATATTGCTGTGGTGTTAGTACTCCAATCACTAGCGTCTTGAGACTCCTGACGATAAGTGAGATGAGCTAAGAAACAACTCAGATGGAGGATGAGGAGTGTATCTTACAAGCCAACACATCCCGATTTCCAGGTGTCCCTCCACATCCGGCCTTCAATTCGAATATGAAAACCGGATGACCACTTTGAGAAACCGTAAAATGTTACACAAATGCAGCCTGTGACAGTCCACTTTACTGTACCACATGTTCGAACGCTAACATCACTAGTATAATGATGCAAGGCGACCAAAAATATATCCTTTCCAAGTGTAACTATAACATGTCAGGAACCACGAGCTCTGGCCTAAATAATTGAAAATGAGCAGATATGTAGCCGTTCGTTATGCCCTTGTTTAACCGTGCTAGGAGCAGATGATCTCTAGTAGGAAATAACGCGTTATGGAGAAATTCGATTCGACTTTTCGAACAAGTTTCCTATAAAATCAGTCTATTGAGAAAGGGGACATTGCACCCAGTAGTTTGACAATAAAGCCTTCGAAATGACATATAGTCCTTTTAAAGAACCTAATCACAGAACTACTTACCTCAATCTCGCCATAATCGATGTTAGGTTAGTGGCATCAAAACTCAAGAAAAAAGAATAGGTCATACAGCTCCGCTGTAAGTTGCTTTCGCAATTAACTGAACTGTCAGGTCGTACAAACTTCAACAGACCGGCGTGGATTCTAAAGACATCCCACCTATTGAATGCTGACTTGGACAAGTCACCATGCATCATTTCAACGCCATACTAAACCCGAAAAGTTTGATAACCCATACTTCAAAACTTTCACAAAGTGACTATAAGTAGTTGTAACATAACTAAATTCAGAATTTAAGCACTGGCTACCTAATTATTTGTTGAACTAAAAAGATACCACCCGAATACGCTAGAACCTGAAACTCACATTAGAAGCGTGTAATAAAATATCTTCAAGAATTATAATATTGAATAAAATGCGTTGCAGAAAATTTGACAAGTCATCATCTATGGATGTCACATAGACAACAAGGAAATGTATACATAGTTATGGGAGGGCAATCTTTAGTTACAATCCACCAGTTTGTGCCTGGAAAACTTCAACAGTATCATTTTCTTCCATTTCCAACTATAAATTTTAATGTGAACTATAAGGTTAACTTACCGAGCCAGGAGTATCAGTTTCATGAACGCTATTTCCATCGAAAAAAAAGCGCACAGCAGACTGATTAACGCCCTAAAGGAGATTGGGTATATGCTGACCAAGTGTTTACCAGTCGATCGCAATAAGCAGTAATTAGTTTCTTGAAAGGTGTGCTTTTCCGTATCTTGAAGTGAATAATTGACCCTTCTTGTCCTTGCACTTTGATGTTAATGTGTTCTGAAGGAGCTTCCTGAATTACATAAGAAATTCTTTGGTTACCATCATCAGTAAAATAGTATTTATATCGCAAAAATGCCTACCTTATTGGCACTATCAGTCATCCCGACAAACTCTCCTTAACAGTTTAAAAGAATCTGCTCAAACAAACGCTATCTAGCTCTGTTGTCCAATGCACAATGGGTCCAAAATATGTTAAATATGAATAACGATGTTTTAAAGAGCTATTTATTTGTCCTTTATCTCAAACTACCACCGATCATTGCAAATTTTGTCGAAAATACTTTATGTACTAAAGTTTGTTTATTACTAATTCAAGTTTTATTCAGTAAACCGAAAAATGTTCCAGTTCTGTTCAAAATCACTTGAATAACATTTATCTAGAAAGATAGAGAGTTTGATTTCCGAGAGCGACATATATCAGACAAAACCTAACGCAATATCTCAATGATGGGCAGGTAAATGACTTAGGTATTCAATTGCTGTAGCCCTAGCCCTTTCGAAAGTTATCTAATGGTTCATACACTGTGAATTTAGGTGAAGTTACATATGCCATGACTATGCAGTTGTTGGGACTGGCTGCTCGCAAATCTTCACTCAGTAGTCTGGTTGAGGATAAAGTGAGTACTTGAGGATTGGTGTAGAGTAGAAGTGACATGATAAAAATAAAATGAACAGATGAGTGGAATGATGGATAAAAATGATTGAAATTAGGTAAAGATTAAGGCTATGGTATCAAGCCACTTGTGAAGAGGATTACAAGTCGGAATATTCATAATTCTAATTGGAAGGTAGTCTTTGGATATGCAGTTAATTGTCATGAACTCTCTTGTAACGGTTTGGTGAAACTGCTGTAATCTCATCTACTGGAACGTCATTCCAGACACCACGCTGCTGTCGTCCAACTAAGGGATTTCTTGCCACAATGTTCTCTCTTTGATAAATGATTCGTGCACTCGAGCACAACTCTCTTCTTAACCACTGTTGCCTTCTCCCTCGTTTATCTTCAAGTCAACTGAAGGGAAGAGGCTTGGAAACCATTACTATCCGATTCAGTCGTATCGATTGTATCTTCATACTACATCCTTTGACAGGCTGTTGTGACATGTATATTCACTAATTTTTGTAACTACAAGATAAAGACCTCATTTTTCTTTACTTTCCCATTTTATATGTAAACACATTTGTATCCATTATCTATCGTTTCTCTGTATCAATGGTAAGAGGAGACGGATATAGTTGTTTGATTGTACTTACACACTACCGCGATTATAAGGAATATCTCTGTAGTCGATTCTTCTGCTTTATTGGCCACGGCCTGTGATTGAAGATTATAGTAGTGTTACAACATTCTTCTAGGTTGGAGTTTTGGCCCCTATTATTATTATGTGAAATGTATTATCGGGCTTAGACTTTCACATTACTCCGTTGGCGCTGCCATGTTCAAAGGAACATTGGTTAATCAAGTGAACTTGTACTGGCATTGGGCCCTACCACGAGGCAATAAAGAAATAGACATTCAACATTTGACGCGGAGAAATACACAAGAATGGAGAAGGCGGGAATAATGAGTTGAACTAATTGGAGTTTATCGGATGGCATGGCTCGGCCACGTAGGCGTGGTCCCTACTGAATGTTACCTTATATGTTTTATTCATATTTAATATATGCTTCTATCTCTAGTCTAAGCTTTTCCTCCATCATCTTGGTAATTGTTACGATGCAGTCAGTTGGTGTAGACGATGATGTGACTTCCACGTAAGATCTTATAGATTAGGCAGTTATATCATAACAAATCTACAGTCTTAGGATTAGGTCTATTATTAGAGCAGTGCTAATATCATAGTAGACCATAATTCTACAAACTCACTTGTGGATATCTCAGAGAAGCAGCTTACAAGCAACATTCATTCCATATCAACTGTTGTCATTCCTGTTATTTGATGTATCATTTGTATTGTAAATGTTGCTTGTTACCTTTCTGCTTTGCTCATAGGCACCTAGGTTTGTAGTGTCAATCTTTTTGGTATGTCATTAGTAACTGTGCGTATTGTTATATCTTGAGTAGGCTCTTTCGCTGGGATCCACCACACGGCCCAGTCTGTAATCTCTTTTCTGTGTGTGTGTGTGTGGAGTCCGCACATATACATTTTCTGTGACGATAACCCTTAGTTTACCTTTCCGTTCAACCAAACTCTTCCTAATCTCTTCATTTATATTCACCATTATTTTAGTTCGTATGAGATTTCTGTTAGCTTTTTGTTCACAATGATGGTTATTCAATCATACTTTTGCTGTTGTATAATATGCTTTGTCTTAGTTTTCATTTTAATCAACCAAAGGCTTTAGCTACTGTCTGGACACCCTCTATATGCACACTCCGTTGTGATAAACAGCTTTCCTTATGCCAACCTTGACTTCCCTTCCTTCATGTGAGCTTACTCCACCTTGTTAAACACCACAACTCATTATTCTTTATTACTACATTGTCTCATCTCGAGCCTCTGATTTCATTTCACTCTAACAAGAGATAGTATGAATTTGATCTAATTTGTTATACCTCTGTCTGTTCCACTATAAATTGTTAAGCAGCGTTTGGCGTTTATATTCTAGTGCCTTGCTGCTCTTCTGTTTTTCTTCTCTTCTATCATCAGAATCTTGCTCTGGGGCACAGCTATGGAACTTCTGACGTCTGGAACAAACTGGACGTACTCGTCTCCTCACGGGCATAGTTTACAGCAAGCGCATCACGAGTCTACTTTATAACAACTATAAACTTAATAAGTTGGAAAGCATGCTGTGAGTCAAAAAATGTTGTAATTTGTAGATCATGCCTGTTAAAGTGGCGTGTAGCTGCTCATGCCGAAATATAATGTTATTATTATTACTACTATTGCAGTTCAAGTGTGTCTGCTCTGTCCAATTATCCTGTGTTTATTTATCAGTACTGTACGTGTTACTTAATTTAGTTACTGAACTACGAACCAATGAACATTTTTATTCTAGTTTTTACTTATTCACTTCACCCCGGCTATCGAGTATAAACACAGAAAACATAAAACTTACCTAATCACTGAGAGAAAAGAATAGACAACAACCTGATAAAAAAGTACACCACTTAGGGCTCAGAAATAAGAGTTCCTACTATGAATATACAATTAAAATTGTCATGGTTTTGAGGGAAGTGCCTATTTGTGGGAGTAAACGAGTCACAATTTGGATGAAAGCCTGTAAAACTTGACTTAAGGCATTATCTTATGTTTCCGATCATTAGAAACAATTCAACTGCTGCAGATCACTTCCTCCTAGTGGGATATTGATGACCTTATGATGTGGCTGTCCAAAAGTTTAAAAACAATGAGCAGGACGTTAGCAAGCACTTCTGCTATCTTACAGCCTTTGGCCATCTTTCCTTACCACAAGAAGCCATATGTATTTAGTGGCATAGGACCCTAACACGGGACAATTGGGGAAATAGATATTGGACATTTTAACGCAGAGAAAAATCCAGCAACGAAGGCGCGAACAGTGAATTCAATTAAATAGAATTGATCGGATGGCACGGCGCAGCCACGCAACCGTGTTCCCTTTTCTATATCCAGCCTGAATGTGTTCTCCAACCATATGTTGGTAATTGTTACGATACGATGAGTCAGTGTAGACATTGATGCGAATTCCACATAAGATCTTATAGATTACGCAGTTATATCATGACAAATCTACCATTTTAGTATTAGGTCTAATATCGTAGTGGACCATAATTCTACATCGGCGAGCACATAATTCTACAGGTACATAATGATAATGATGATAATAACAAAAATCGCAAATATACAGTGGACAGTTCAATTTATCGTAATCGTGTTTTCCAATCATCCTGGAAAGGAACAAGACAAAAATGTAAGTGCGTGTCAAAAGAACGTGGTAGTTGCTTAAGCAAGCAAAAATTGTGGAGAAATCCGTTATATATGCGTTTGTATGCCATGTGACAGCGAGGAACATTTGACACAAAAGTGTTTCGGAAGGTTTTGGCGAAAACAAACTTGTAACAGCTAAAGTCGATTGGTTAAGAGCTGACCTCAAGCAACTTAGTATATGTCAAAACAACATAGTTCAAATACTCATTTACTTCTTTATTTTGTATAAGCGTTATATTTCTAATTATCTTATATTGAATGTTGAGAGCTTTTGTTTGTCTGAACAAGGAATCCCATGATCCACTGTGACTGCGCGAAGATCGAAAATAAAGACCTATTCCCTACTAGTCCGGTTTCTTCTAATAATAACACGAGGGTTACCAATAGGCACGAAAAACTCATACATCAGCAACTTAAAAAAATTGTTTCGTTTTTAAATCGAAGCTAAATGTGAATATATTTAAAAATCGATCATTTTGACTTTGGCGTGACAAAAACTGAGTATCAATCGAAATAGTTGTAGAATACGAAAGACTGAATAATGCAAGGACTCATAAAAGGACATAGGTGCAAGTGTTCTGGAAAACTTATGGTTTTTCCAGAGTTAATCTTTTTCAGCAGGTTGTGAGATACTAGCCTCTTTGATCATACTAGGTCAGCAAAATTGTCCTGTTTTGAGCTTGTGGGTTGCTTGAACTCCTGAATGAGAAAGTTTGATCAGCGTGTTGAAGCAATTAAGCTACTTTTATTTAAAATTACTAGACGGTTACTGGCAGTGAATCTGTTAAAAATTAAAATTTCCTCTCCTGTTCTCAACTGTTTTATCGGTAGTTTCAGAGTTGTTAAAGATAACTCGTGGTGAATATCAGCTGGGTTAGTTCAAGAAAATCGACTCTTTGGAAACTGTCCAAAGAAGTTTTAAAAGACAAAGGGTCTGCCATTACGTTGCTAGCCGCAGAAATGTGTTGTATATCTAAAGTAAGCTGCGAGATGTAGTCCAGTTGTTGATGCTTCCGAGGAGACTACTTGGCTGAAAAAGAGCAAAGATAAGAAGCAGTAGGTTTATGGTGGTGAACGGACTGAAGTCTCAGCCTTACACAGATTGTTGAAAATGCTATACATCGGAATACATAGCTAAAAGTTTGTACAACAGGCAATGTTCGAAATTTAGCGTCGATACACGACATGTTACGCGCCAACACCCCAATTCACTACTTGAGTAAGAATACAAGAATAGATGAGAAATGATATCAAGCTACCGAGTTAAATTCATAAATACTCATTCATAGTCGTATAACTTTACCACTTAGGAAGCAAACGCATTTTTCAGCTAATGATATGAACTTGTCCTTCATGTCCCTTTTGATTAGAATCGACTGACTTTCTCGTTTGACTCCTGA